TACGTCTCCCTTAATATATACATAGTCCCACTGAATGGTGTCTATCTTTCCAATGTGTGACACATTAATAGTTTCTCTTCCGTTGTACTTCATTTGAAAAAATGCACATATGATCCACTTGATTGGTTTCTTGACTCCGGTGGGTTGTGAATTGTATTTTGAAACATCCTAGAATACATTTTGGATTGTTCTATTACCTCATAGCAAAGGGTCCCAGGATCAAGACTTTGTGCAGAGATCCAGGAAATGTCCCCTGAGCAAACAATGGGGACCTGAAGAGTTCTCCAATTTCCTGCATGATTGTGTGTGACCTGAGCCAAGATCTTTACTGGCTCCTACCTCAGTTTTTGTATCTGCAGAGGGGGTGTACTTGTAAATACAGCATCTAGTTAACAGGGTTATTATGAACAATAAGATCAAAACGAGGTAACATACATGAAAATGCCTTGTAAACTTAGAAGGAATTTCGTGAGGTAATTGCTATTTTAAACTGCTTGATAATAACTTTCTGCCACTCAGAAATCTGAGAGGATGGCACTACTTCATGGAAATTAGTTTGAGCTCTTCAAAACTTGCCATATAAAACAAAGGCAGTCCCAATTGCTTTAATCAAAATGATGATCAGCTTCTAAAAATGTATCCCATCTCCCCTGAGACCACTCAGAATTAAAATCTGATTTCAAAGAGGAAAACTGCCGCATGTTCGGGTTTGATTCAGAGTCCTTTGGGTCTCCTGCCCTCTGGCCCCTTTCCTGGTTCAGGGAGTCCTTGGGGGAAATCGTGGGGTGACTCAGTTCCACTACTTGCCTTTGAGAATCAAGGTTGGGCTGATTCCTTCCAAGGGGAATTATCCTTCCCTCCAAGGCTTTGAGACTAGCAAAAAGATGATTTAAGAGAGAAAGGGTTAGTAGGCTCTGAAATTGAGGTAGGGGCTCCTTAGGTTGGGGTCACGGCTTATTAAGATTGACGTCCTGGGAGGGATGCCCCTCTGGAAGCTCCAGTTTTGCCAGATCAGAGCAGCCTTTGGTGAAGAGGACTGGTGGCCCTCTCCACCTGTGGGTCTCCAGCTTGGGAGGGAGAACTGTCTTTGGGTCATCTCCATGGTGGTGCCCAGTGGGGTCTTTGGTGAAGGTAGCTGGAGGTATCCTCTTTGTTTTCTCCCATTTCTTTTTCATTTTTCTGTTATTTGTTTCCTAATCAGTTCCTTTCGTGGTGTGGAAAATGAGAGGCTGGTTATACCCATCACATGGTATTGTTTCTGCAGATCCCCTCCCCTCCAGGCACAGTAATTTCCCCATCCCCAGATGAGGGTGATAAGTGTTTGAGATGCATAACTGCGTCTCATTTCAGTGCCTAATAGGAGATGGAGAATGAGCCACGGCACCTTTCTGCTCAGTAAATTCATAATTACAGGCTTCCTTGTCTCGCCTCGTGCAGACGAGAGAACTGCTGATTGGCTGTGGGTCTGTGAGCGTGTACAGTAAGGTGGGCCTTGGCAGGCGCACTTTCCCCCACGTGTGGCACGTTCTGACATAGGGACTGCAGAGAGTTCCCTCCAGAAGGCTCGGTGCCTGAGCCCCGACCTGCACCTGTCTGTCTGGAGTGAGGATTCCCAGCCCTGCTGGAATTCAGCTGTTGGCAGGAGTTTTGAGAGCTGTGTTAGCCAGCAGAGCACATGGTGCCTGAAGAGGAGTTCTTTCAGACAAAGGCCAAGGAGAAGGTGCTGGAGCAGAGAAAGTCAGAAGAGAAGCTGTATGTGGCAGAAAGACCACTGGCCTGGGAGTTAGAGGTCTGAGTTGTCCTTCATCTCCATCTTTAATTCACTATGTGGTCTCCTGTGAGATCATTTGACCTCTCTGGATATCACCTTCCTTGTCTGTAAAATCAGGGATTGGGAATCATTCAACTGGATTATCTGTTTCAGATCAAAAACTTCTAGAATCTTCTCTGTTATTTGGATTTGCACAAGCAACTCAAGAGGAACTGTCTGGACTGACTCCTCATCACTCATATTTATAGGTATCAGCAGGAGCCATCTAATTATCATAACCTTCATCCTTTCAATCCTATTAAATCTTGTTAACAATAACAACACATCTATCATTTATTAAGCACCTACTTTGTGCCGGGCAGAGGCCCTGTGCCAGGTGCTGTGCAGTCACCAACACTTGGAGGTGTGCAACAGCACCTGCTGATAGGTGTGTGCTTTGTGGGTCAGGGAGGTTTCGGTTTTCTCCTGGTGTTCCTATGTGATGTCCTGGGACTTCTTTGCTTGAGACTTACATGACTTAAAAGGGGGCTTCCAAGTGCTCTATATTCTGGGCTCTGGAATTGTGCACTTCTAAGAACCATTCGGAATAGCAGTGGTACTACCCTGGAGTCCATCCCTAACTCTGCCTCTTATTAGCCACATGTCCTTGCAGAGCTAAAGTCTCCTCACCTGAAAGATGGGTAAAGTCATCCTCCTGCCTGCAGAGAACAGTAATGATGAGTTTGTGAGTTACTCTATGTGAAAGCATTTGCATGGGGTTTGGGGCACAGTAAATGCTGTACAAATATTGATATTCCTTCTTGCTGCGAGCTCCTCTTTCTGCCAGTCAAGAATTATTAGCTGTTGAGCCTCCGTGAACTGCTGGGCAGAGCTCTGATGCTGTGGACACACTAGTGAGCAGGACAGACACTGCTTGGCTCACAGAGCTCACAAGCCGTCAGCCACGAACTCTTTTTCTGCTAAGTCAAAGACTGCATAGACAGTAACGTGGCACCTTCTCTCTGGGAAACTTTGCCCTTTTCTTTTAAATTTACACTCTTTACTCTTTGCATTTCAGTCTTGACATTCCAGTGACATCCTGACTAGGCCCACTTTCTCTCTTTTCAGCTGTATCTGCTACCTGATTCCTTCCTGAGCTGTGTTCCCAGGCATCCTCTTCCTCGTTTACACCTGCTTCCATATGCCCATTTGGCTCTGCAGGTCTCACCCTTCCAATTTTCCGTGTCCTCCACAAGTTCATGGCTTGCTCAAATTCCATTCCCTTCCATGCCTTGCTTCCTCACCTGAAGTTAGAAGGCTTCTTTTCCCCCATGAACTCCCAACTCACTCTATCACGACCCCGTCACTCATAGCATAACTGCTCGTCCTATGTATAGTTTGGGTTTTGTTAGTTTCTGCCTAACTTGCCCACAAGTCCTTTAGGGGTCTTATCCTTGGGTCCTGAAGTGTCTTGCATGTGTTGTGTGTGCTCTGAGCAAACATTGGTCAAGTGGGTCGATAAATAAAGGCCGTCAGCTTGCAAGACCACTGTTGGTTGTGCGGTGGGGGGGTCCCCACCTGCCAGAACCTTCTTCCTCTGACATCTTCTTGAAAAGATTGTAGGTCTCATTTGGATTTTGGCTGACAAGACAAAGTCTTCATTTTGTTTGCTTTCTTCTTCTGTGGGTGTCCAGCTAACCTTGTATCCTCTCTCTGTTGGGGAGATTTCTGTTACTTAGCAATGTACCTCATTCCACTACCTCATTTTTTAGGAGTTTGGGGGTGGGGAGGATGAGAGAAATTCCACAGAGCTGAGATGCCTCCAAATAAGAAGTTGGCAATCCCTGCCCAGATGCCTTCCAAAGTGGAAGAAGTAAGAAGCTTTCCACTGGAAACATGCAGAAAGCATCCTGAATGTAATGAAGGAGACCATTAGGGTGGACCGTGATTTGGTTCCACTGGGAGTTACTTATTTATTTATTTGACCACTGGTTTCTTAAAGCAGTTTTTCTCCCTCCCTTTCATGAAAAGCTCTCAGAAGGGTCCTGACTGTGGGAGGCAGCTGAGCTCTGCCTTGTTAAAATAACATGAGGGCTTAGAATTGGGCAGGGTACAGAGGGTCTGGTGGATGCCAGAGGATGAAGGAGGGAAGATGTGGGTTTTTAATTTGGCCCCACTATATCAACCAGCAGAGCAGATGCAAAGGGGAAATTCCCCTGCAGTAGGTCCAGACTCAGGGCCAGAGGCAGCAGCTGTGATGGGTGCCCTCAAGAAGGGGTTCAGCTTTGGTCTTCTGCTGTGGATAACAGGAAGTGCTAAAATACCCCATCTGTGCAAGGCTATGGACAACCGAGTGCAGAGTTAAGAATGAGGACCTGCTCTGGAGTTACTGCCACTTCAGTGGAAGTCCATTTCTGCCACTTTCAGCTGTGCAGGTCCCATGACTTTGTTAAGCTCATGTTCCTTAGCTGTAAAATGAGGATAAATAGTACACACTTCCAAGTTCACTCGTCGGGGTTTCAGGAGGAAATAGATAGCATGTGCAAATTGTGTCATTTGAGCAAAGATTAAGAAAGGGACTCTTCATGAACGTGTGGTTCCTTAGGGGCAACGCAGTATTTGGAGTTAGTCACAGTGAGGGCCAGGTGGGGTGTGGCAGGAGAAGGCCCACAGGACCTGGACACAGAGAGACAGTGTGGAGGGGCCTGCTCTAGGGAACATCCCACGAGACTCCCAGCGGGTGCAGCATCTGCTCCTCCCACCGGGCTTCCTCCAGCGCTGTCTGCACCCAACCAGGCCTGAGGCCAGGGAGCCGCTCCCAGAGGGTCTGTGCGGTCAGTGTCCTGGGCCAGAGAAGGGCAGGCCATGGATCTGGAAGAGCAGATAGAAGACTCCCAGCTCTGAAAGGATTTACTGAGATGAAATAAGATAGTCCCCAGAAGGTGCCGGACAGTGAGTGACTTAAAGTCAGACACTTGGTCAGCGCTGCTGTCTCTTGTCATCTTTGCTATCGTCATCGTTATCATTAGCATTGTTATTATTGGTGCTGAAGGGTCCTCCTGTAGCCACTGCCTCCTAGCTGTGACTGTCTCTCACTCCTGGGCTGGGGCCCACACAGCTGGCCTTTAGCTTCCCTTGGGCAGTTGTATTTGGGTTGTGCCAATGGGCTGAGTCCAGCCAGACATGCTTTGGGGTGCCAGGAAGCCCCGACCATGGTTATCCTACATCTCAGTCTTTTCTTTCTCACTAGGGGAGACTGCCCTGTTGAGTCCTGGTGACAGCTGTGCCCAAGTGCTGCTGGGCTGTGAGGACCCTTCTCTGAAATGAAAGCCATGCCTTGGAACTGGACTTGTCTGCTGTCCCACCTCCTGATGGTAGGGATGGGCTCCTCCACTCTGCTCCCCCGGCAGCCACCCCCACTGACCCAGAAGCGGTCCTTTGTCACTTTCCGAGGAGAGCCCACCGAGGGCTTCAATCACCTGGTGGTGGATGAGAGGACAGGGCATATTTACTTGGGGGCCGTCAACAGGATCTATAAGCTTTCCAGTGACCTGAAGGTCTTGGTGACCCACCAGACAGGGCCGGACGAGGACAACCCTAAGTGCTACCCGCCCCGCATCGTCCAGACGTGCAATGAGCCTCTGACCACCACCAACAACGTCAACAAAATGCTCCTCATAGACTACAAGGAGAACCGGCTGATTGCGTGCGGGAGCCTGTACCAGGGCATCTGCAAGCTCCTGAGGCTGGAGGACCTCTTTAAGTTGGGGGAGCCTTTTCACAAGAAGGAGCACTACCTGTCGGGGGTCAATGAGAGTGGCTCGGTCTTCGGAGTGATTGTCTCCTACAGCAACCTGGATGACAAGCTCTTCATCGCCACGGCGGTGGATGGGAAGCCTGAGTATTTCCCTACCATCTCCAGCCGGAAGCTGACCAAGAACTCTGAGGCGGATGGCATGTTCGCTTACGTCTTCCATGATGAGTTTGTGGCTTCCATGATCAAGATCCCCTCGGACACCTTCACCGTCATCCCCGACTTTGATATCTACTACGTCTATGGTTTCAGCAGCGGCAACTTTGTCTACTTTTTGACCCTTCAGCCTGAGATGGTGTCCCCTCCAGGCTCCACGACAAAGGAACAGGTGTATACCTCCAAGCTCGTGAGGCTTTGCAAGGAGGACACAGCCTTCAACTCGTACGTGGAGGTGCCCATTGGCTGTGAGCGCGGCGGGGTGGAATACCGCCTGCTCCAGGCCGCCTACCTGTCCAAAGCCGGGGCTGTGCTGGGCCGGACCCTGAGTGTCCGCCCAGACGACGACCTCCTCTTCACCGTCTTCTCCAAGGGCCAGAAGCGGAAGATGAAATCTCTGGATGAATCAGCCCTGTGCATCTTTATTCTGAAGCAGATCAATGACCGCATTAAGGAGCGCCTGCAGTCCTGCTACCGGGGCGAGGGCACGCTGGACCTGGCCTGGCTCAAGGTGAAGGATATCCCCTGCAGCAGCGCGGTGAGTCGGGGGGAGCACTGGGCTGGGTGGTGGGCTGTGCATAAGGACCCGGCCTTATAATTTCTCTTCCCATTTTGTGAACAGGACAACTATATTCCATCCTGGGCCTCACTGGACTCACACCACCACTGGCTCTGACGCTCTGAGTATATGAGAGTCAGAAGTGGAGATAAGGCATTCGTTTCCCATTGCCACCTGGGTCTCTCTCTATTCCAGGTTGGCTTGCTGCATACAAGAGGGCGTGATGGGAATGGGTAGGAGAGTGTGAAGGAGATGTCCTGGGCACCCGGCCTGGTAGAGGGCTGTAGCACCCTTCTCATTAACCAAGCCTGCCAATCACGTTCCTGACTGTTTAGAACAAGAGCAGAGGTGGGAGAGAGGAGAGTGGAAGAAGTCACTCTAGAGGTGTGGTGTGATGGATGTGGGATTTCAGGAAAGCTAGGTTTTGAGCCCCTTGTGTATTTTTAGGACATGGGAAAAGTGAGGGCAGATGTCAGGTAGGAGAAGCAAAGGAGAGCAGAAATAAGGCAGAGAGAAGAAAAGAGAACTTGTTTGGGAAAGGGATGGGAGGAGACAGACTGTTTATTAAGCATCTTCTGTGTGCACAGTGCCCTGGAAATGATGCATTCCAGAGTCAGGAAGCCAGAGAGCAGCATCAGGTGACAGACATGCTATAGGAGCCCAGAGTGAAGGTAGCTGGTTCAGGGGCCATCATCCCATGACCCGTGGGACTTGGTGTGCTGATAGGTATGGCCTTGCAGGAGGACCTCAGGTGAAATGGCTGACGCAGCTTCCTGCCTCCCCACCCCTTTCAGTATGAAAAGCATCTGCTTTTCTGAGCTTGACTTCTGTTCATCTTTCAAAGGGTACTGTTCTCTTTTCACATCCTTCAGGATTCCTCTGTCGGCATCTTCCGTGCCCACGACTCTCTCCCTCTCCTTTTTTCATTTCCATTTAAAAAAATGGTGAACCTAGTTTGTAATCTATCTTGTAAAGCTAACTGGAAGAGGAGGGAGGAAAAACTCATCCATCAGATCCAAATATGCATTTGTCCCAGTGTGATTGACTGCTGCTCAAACTTTGGTGGCATTTTGCATGAGGAAAATGTATTTTGGTTGCATTGAAAAGTGTGTTTCCCTCCATAAAGTATAACTGCTTGCCAAACAGATCTCAGAGGACACTGGCACCTCTTCACTGGTGCATGATGAACAACACCATTCCTCTGTCCATTGTGATTTGAAGTGGGGGCAGTGAAGAGGGAGCAGAAGGAGCCCAGCAGAGTTTACCTTTGGTGCTCTGACATTTAGGCTCAGTCTGTTTTCCAGGGGCAGATTTTGGGTACCTGGGATGAAATGAAAAAATTCCATCCCTATTTGGAGGAACTGAAAGGCCAGGAGACCCTGTGCCACAAAGGAAATGGGAGAGGCAGAGCATCAACCAATGGGAAAATGAGAGCCAGGCCAGAGAAGAGAGGGGACTCCAGCACCTGTTGAACCCTGGCCAGTGACTTCACCTTTGAGAATGCCTCCTGAATAGGCCTGGTGTTTAGGGTAGTGGTTGATCCACTTGAGAGGGTCTGTGGTACAGGGTTAGGATCTGGGGGATCACAGACTGCTCCCAAAAGAAGATAATCAGTGACAGGCCAGATTTTGTGTTATGTCTATGTACATTACACATGCAAATAAAGGTCTCTGGGGAGAGACATTGGCATGTTGAAATAGGTCCTCCCCCTGTGCTGCTAAAATGGAATATCTGAAGCTGGGCAATTTATAATGAACAGAAATTTGTTTCACACAGTTCTGGAGGCTGGGAAATCCAAGTTCAAGGTGACTTCCTCTGGCAAGGGCCTTCTCACTGTACCATAACGTGGTGGAAGGGCAAAGAGAAAGCCAGAGAAAGAACAAGAGGAACTGAACTCACCTTACTGCCTTAATAACAATCAATCCATTCACGAGGGCAGATCCCTCATGGCCTAACCACTTCTTCAATGCCCTTCTTATTAATACTGTTGCAATGGCAATGAAATTTCAACCTGAGTTTGGGAGGGGACAAATATTCAAACCCTAGTACCTTAGTTTAAACCCTCATTTTGTCTTGAGTACCTCAGACCCAACAAGGTCAACTAATTGCCCAAGGTCACACATCCTGTGAAGGAGTGGCAGAGCCAGCACTCAAGGAGAGTCCCCCTTACCTGCATGCCATATACATATTTGCACAGCCTTGCACACATATACTTGCATGTGTGCCATAAATAGTCCCATGAGTGTGCATACATAAACCTATGTTAGCAGATGTCAAGTCTATGCTGGGTGCTTACTATGAGATCAGAGGGGTTGGAAATCTCTGCAGAAAACTTGCTCACAACTGTCTTTTGGGCTGTGCTTTTGGGAGCAGCAGCATCTGCAGGGATCTGTCTGACTGCCACCGGCAGGTGTTGGTCCTGCCCTTGCTCCCTGCCACAGCACAAAAAGCCAAGTTCATCCTGGAAGTCTGCAGGCGGGTCCTAACACCACATGGTAGCCTTGGAGAGTACAGAGGCGATACAGCTTTGCAAGACAGACTGATGCCAGGACTGGGAGTAATGGAGCCAGATAACAAGCTTTTGATTTTTCTTTTGGCTTTAATTAGCCCTTTCAAGTTAGAGGCGAGTTCGGGGCCGAGAATAGAAAGGAGGAGGCCAGAAACTCGGAGCAGGGCTGGGGTTGTCTCCCCAGCCAGTCTAAAAAAGGCCAGACTGGCTTTTAATGCACAGTATCAGTTTCCTTTGATTTGGCTGATACCCGAGTTACTTTGCTCTGGCCCTCTTGTTACAACTCATTTGGACTCAGCTCAGACCACACATGTTTCACACGACATTGACATCGGCCAGGCCGGACTCCTGAGCCCCATGGAGTCTGCTGCATTGGCAAACCCAGCTTTCCTTTTTCCCATTCCCAAGGCTGTTGGGTTGGTGTCTTTCCCCCTTCCCTGCCTAGAGGCAGAAGATGGTCAAGATGAACCCTGGAATTCTTTTTTCCTTCTGAGAATGGAACTCCCTTGGGGCCTGTGAAGTGGACCCCGGATCTCAGGTGGCCTCTGTCCTGTGGTGTTTCCGCTGTTAGAAAAATGGGCCCAGAAAGTGGACATTTAGGGTTGTGTTTCGCAGGGTGGGATCCCTTGTGGGTTTTATGGCTGTTACAACTTAGCTTAAAAGGGGATCTGACCAGCGATTCATTTTTATTGCATTCCCTGTTGTCCTAATTCTCTAAGTCCCAGAGCGTGTCCCAGGGTACCCAGCAGGCTTTTGTGGACTCTTCCATTCGCTCCCCTAAACTCAGGCTTCCAGAACTCAGAGATGGAAGCATGGTGACCCCCGGGCTGCCTGCCTGCCTACCCCGTGAGGTCCCAGCATTCCCTCCAGCTGTGTTTAGTGGGGGATGGATAGAGAGGGGAAGAGAACCCCTGTGACTCAGCTTGCTATGCCATGGGGCTTCCATGGAACCACAGGTGGGGAAAGGGCTGAGTCATGAGGCTGGAGCCCCCTGGGTGTGGGCCCATAGAGCCCCGTGGTTACTGTACTGCAGACAAGCCAGAGAAGGCTTGCTGTGCCCACATCAGAGGTGAGCTTGGGGCCAGCAATGGCCTCCTCCTGGGGATGTTTTGCTGCAGATGCAAATTCACATTGGAAATGCAACTCCCTGAGCAGATACTGGGTGTGGAGGGTGGGGAGGTCGCAAGGTATATTCTGGTGTTTTGGGGGAATGGGAAATTTGGCTTCTAGCCATTCCTTCTCCTGGGTGCTGGTTTTCTTCAGCCAGAATGGAGAGGGGTATCCAAGAACAAATGTGCAAGTGTCTGAAAATTGCTCCTTAGATCTCATGAGGACCTGGCCATAAGAAGAGTTCTAGAGGGACCTGTCAAGGTGTTCTAGTTCATCCTGGGGCTCAGGGAAACTAACAGTTAACCTGAGGCCCATTTTACTAATGGGTATCCAGGTGAGTTAATGACAAAGACTTGATTTCTCTCTTTCTCTAGCTCAGCACCAGGAGGTCCCTACTCTGGCCTCTTTTGTAGGCTGCCATGCCCCTCTGTCTGCCGAGACAGGACGGTAGGGCTGAGGAGCCCAAGCCTGTGTTTTCTGTCCTGTGATCCGGCCCAGTGCAGGCTTGGTGTCCAGGTATTTCTGAGTGGCTGACTGTACCTCCTCTCCCTTTCTCCAGACTCCTGGGTAAGTTCCCAGATCACTAGCCTCTGCCTCCAAATGGGCTGCTGAATGGTGGAATGTGTTGGCCTTGGAATAGTGCTTGGCAATGGATGCTCTGCTGGTGGACGCCAAGATCGTGGAATGACATCAGTCCCCAGAAGTCCAGAGTATGGTCATATGGCCTATGTGGCAAGAACAAAAGCTGTGCTCATGGGAGTGGCCATCTCTCCCTCCACTTAAATCTTCCCAAGTTTGGGACGAATTGAGAAGTGGCCATAGGAATCAGGATGGTCAGCCTGAGGACTGACAGGGCTGGATGGGGTGGGGGTGGGGTGAAGGTGAGCCACAATCAGCTTCTTCACTATTCCTTTAAGGCTGGACCTCAGAGGGACCTTTCACTAGAAAATTTGGGTCCCTGTGGCAGAACCACCACCTCCCACCTGTCAGACGGAGGTTGGGGGAGCAGAGCGTGCTGTCTGATGATAACGCTCAGGCTCTCTGCTGGTTTATGAGGATTTTATCAGATCCTTTTCCTCTCTCAGCAGTGCTTTAGGACGACAGAAAGGGCAGACAGCTCTCTGGCTGGGGGAACAGAGGGACAGAAAAGTCAAGTACTTCCCTGAGTGTCATGTAGTGAATAGACTAGAACCTGCTGGGCATTCAGATCTCAGCTGAGGCTTCTACCAAGGTTTATCTCCATGTGTGCTACTGGCCATTGTCTAAGTGGGCAGTGCCTCGTGCAGGGACCGTCTGGGCATTGCAGGGCATTTGTGATCCAGGCCCTGAATGCTAGGCACCCATGGAATTCTCTAGTTCC